TAGAAATTATAATGATTTTGAAAATATGCTTATAACATTTTATGAAGAAAGTAATTAACTTAAAATTCTAGGATTTTGTAAGTTATGATGCTTTCTGTCGAATTTAACTCAACCCCATAGAACTTGATATTTATTTTGGTTGTTACTGAAAGTTTTAATATCTAACTTTATGTGTTAGATAATTAGTACTTTAAACCATACAAACATTTTAAATAAACATTATAGAAAGTCAAACCAAGTTATAAGTTCAACGAATGGTAATTTAACGCTTTTTTTAAAAATTCTATCCAAAACGAATTATTGATCAGAAAACATTTAACCAGGTGTATAAGTCACCATTTAAGTTTCAACTGTCGATAGATAACCAGGAAAAGTACAGAATTAAGAGTGATTTAAAATTTTAAAAAAACAATAGCTAAATGTTTACTAGCCTTAATGAATTATCCTGTACAAAAATATTTGCATCTAAGCCATACCAAAAAAAGTCATTTTAAATTGAAACAATATCAGGGTGATTCCTTTATTATGAACCACTTAATATCTCTTTTTTTATTGTTGTTATACAATGTGATTTCAGTTTTTCACAATATTTATGTTTTTACCCCCTCTTAAAGCAGTTTTTTTGATAGCAACTTTTAAAACTTAAATAGTTACATATAATTTTTATTAACTTTTTAAGTTAACAATAAAGCACTAAAAATGTTACCTGGTCGATAACTAGTTTCGAATAACTGTTTTAGAAGGTATTGAAGTTTCAAGTTTAGGGCAGGAGGAAAGGTGGAGTGTAGTATTATATTTATCTGCACGCCTTTCCCCACTGCACTGCCCCCCATCCTAACTTAAAAACATTACCATTTAAGTTTAAACATTTTCTATCAAAAAAACTAAGTTGGGAGGGCGGTAAAAACAAAAAAAAATTTTTAGCGAGAAGACCAGAAAGGAGGATGAAAATTCTATTGAAAACTATAATCTGTCTAGAGAAGTTTTCGTCGAAAAAATAGCGAGTTATTTTACAGAACTGTTCTTATACAAGAGAGAAGTTTTAGAAGTACTCAAAGTGGTCGTCCATAATCGTTGTAAATTACTTGACTATTTATTAAATTTCATTTTTAATTATCTACAAAATGTTTTTAGATACATTACCAATTGAATCGAAGGAGTACCTCAAAATAATAAACATGTTGACGGCTTCGCTACGGGTTGGTAGTTTTGTTTCTAATAATATTTTTACTTTATTAATACGATAGATCATAACACCAGGTGGAAAGATGACATTAAAATTTTGTCTTCGGAAATTTAGCAGTAATACTCATTAAAAATATTATTTTAACATCTTTATCTTAGATAAAAAAATTATAATTAAAAAAAAATTTTTTTTTGTTTTAGTACTTAAATATTTTTATAACATTTTTTTATCAAAATTACCGTATTTTCTTTTGTCTCTAGAGCAAACATTTATATTTTTTAAGTTTTTTAAATGTAATTTTAGAACGACATTTATTTTGTTTTGCCATTCAAATGGCACGGGGGACTGAAATTGTTAATCATATTCTTCTAAGATAAAAAAAGCAAAATTTCAAATTTCATTCTCTGTAATTATTCATGAATAAATAACTTTCCGAAAATGTTTTAACTATATCTGCCATCAAGTTTTCTTTTCTGGTATGAAATTGTACTTTTAATATTTCATTTATATATTTAGTACTAAAATATTTAAATATTTAAGTATGTTGCACAAGAGTTGATTTACGTGTGCATTTAATCATATCGAATAATGAATACGCATTTTGTACTATAACATATAATAGAATAACATGTTTGTTAAAACTTCTAGATGACACGTATACACAAGAATTTCAAATCTAACGGTAAATAGTTGAAATCAACGTTGTAGTCGTCATTTTTATTGATTAACATTTACATTTTTCCAGGCGACCCTAATGTTGATTTCCTTCAATATATAAGCGAACATTGGATGGCCAAAGATAATTTTTCGTGTTCCATACCTAATCTCGAGTATCGACACATAATTGTAATTGGCCATTGAAAAATATAACATTTTGAATAGATACAAATGATTGAAAATTTACTTTACATATAATTCTAGAATATAAATCCAAATCTAAATAACATGTCACCAAATAAATGGAAGAAGATTTTTAACCAATACAAAAGCGACAATGATGGTTTAATCTCCGAAATGCAATTACAGAAATTATTATACGAAGAGTTCCACGTATTTCTCACCATTCGCAATGCAAGGAAATATATAGCGGCACTTATATCCAATACCCCTATACCTGAGGGTAAGAACAAAAAATCCATATTCTACGAAATATTCATTCAACAAGTGCCCTAATTATTTTCAGAAAGCCGTAATATCGGACTGAGCCTATTGAAAAAAATGAGACCGATAATATTTGTTTTGTCACAGGTTTGTTCAGTCTTTTTTGTTACAGTAGAGTTAAATAGCACTATATAATATAAAAATGCTAACAATGTCAATACTGTTTATAATATATTATGATTGGAGTAATTAGCTTTAAATGTTTAAAGGTTGATTATACTTAGCACTCTAGAATTTTCTTAGTTTTGATGTGTGTAGTCGAGTTTACCTAAATCTCTTAGAACTTGATATTTGTTTTAGTTGTGACTGATTGTTTAAATATCTAACTGTATATGTTGATATAGCCTGGATTTATTTTATATATACGTAAACTGCCTCTCGGGATATTAATATCATTCGGGTGACTTAAGTTAAATTTACTACAACGTGATTTTTCTTCATTTTTTGAGTAAATCCAAAATTTAAATTTGGCAACGTCCTGCAAACCTAGGATATTTTGTTTTTAGTGGAGCGATTGAATGCCTATTATTCGGTGACCTGCCGTACGATAGAAACGGGGTGCAGTTAGAAACAGTCATAGTTGACGATATGTTCACTAGGCCATCTAAAATTTTCCATTCTGAATTAAAAAATCAGTCTTACGTTCCTCTAGTTTATATTTTGCTACCTTCAAAGACTACACACAGCTTTTTATTTAGTTATAGAGTGCAAAAAAAAAATAACTTACAACTCAATTAAATTACACGGAAAAAAATACATAGTTGGTCCAATACATAATACATTTACACAATACATCTCTAGTTCGAATAACTAAATAAATAGTTGGCCCAACTAACTGTATAGTTGATTCCACTAAAAATTTACAACTATGTTTTTTTTCCGTGTATGTACACACAATATACCTAGGTGCAATTGTATAAAATAAACTCAGGCCGCAATTTACATATATATATAAAATATACTCGGGCCGCAATTTACAGCGACGTGTAAATTACCATTTAAGTTTCAACAATTGATATATTACCAGGAAAAGTACAGATTTGAATTTGATTTACAATTGTAAAAAAAACAAGAAAAAACCTATAAAACTATTATCCTTAATTAATTTACCTTTACAAAAATACTTAAATCTAAGCCTTACCAAAAGAATCATTATTAAATTGAAATAATATACGCTTCTTATAATTTTTTTTAGAGAGAAGAGGAGATTGGAAATAATGACATTTCGACAGAAGTTTTCTTGGACGTAATAGCGAGTTTTTTTTCGGAAATGTTCTTAGACAAGAAAGAAGTTTTAGAAATACTCAAAGTTTTCGGCCATGACGGTAGTATATAACTTTACTATTTATTGAAATTTGTATTTTAATTATCTACAAATTGATTACAGAAAATTTACCAATTAAATTGACGGAGTACCACGAAATAATAAAAATGTTGACGGCTTCGCTACAGGTTGGTAGTTATAATTCTAATTATATGTTTACTTTATTAGTACACCAGGTAACATTAGGTGGAAAGATGATATTCAAATTGTGTCTTCGAAAAATTAGCAACAATATTAATTAAAAATATTATTTAAACGTGTTCATTCTAGATAAATAACTTATAATTTTTAAAATTTTATTTTTTATTTTAGTAATTAAATATTTGAATAAAATTTTTTTATCAGAAATGTTTCGAAATTATTGCTTAAAATATTGTCTCAGGAGCAAACTTATAAGATTTAAAGGGTTCTATTAATGTTTTCACGAACATATGTACGTATATGTATATGTAATATACAAAGAAATAGTTTTAATATAATTTTAAATTGAAATTTGTGTTATAACATATAATAAAATAACGTATTTGTTAAAACTTCTAGATGGCACGTATACACAAGGATTTTTGTTTATTTAACGGTAAATAGTTAAAAACAACATTGTAGCGGTCATTTTTATTCATTAACATTTACATTTTTCCAGACGACCCTAACATTGATTTTCTTCAATATATACGTAAACATTGGGTGTCCAGAGATAAATCTGCGTCTCTTATAACTAATCCCGACAATCCACTCATGAGAGTAACTGATTATTGAAAATTATAACATTTTTGGATAGACGCCAAAGATTGAAAATTAACTGTACATATTATTCTAGAACATAAATCCAAATCTGAATAACTTATCAACAAATAACTGGAAGAAGATTTTTAACGAATACGACAGCGACAATGGTGGTTCAATCTCCGCAATGGAATTACAGAAATTACTATACGAAGAGTTCAAAGTATTTATTACCATTCGCCAAGCAGAGGAATATACATATTTAATTTATTTACAGGGTAATAAAAAAATAACCATATTCTAAGAAATATGTACTCCACGTGTGCCATTATTATTTTTAGAAAACCATAAAATAGAACTGGAACATGGGAAAAAAATGGATTCGATAATAAAAGTGAAAATAAACGATGAAATAGAATTTGAAAATGGAGAAAAAATGGAACCGATATTAAACGAGAAATTGAACCAAGAAATAGGATTGAAACATGGGGAAAAAGAGAACCGATAATAAACGAGAAAATAAACCATGAAATAGGATTGGAACATGTCGAAAAAAAGGAACCGATATTAAACGTGAAAATAAACTATGAAATAGGATTGGAACAGGTTGAAAAAATGGAACCGATAATATATATTTTGTCACAGGTTTGTTCAGTTTTTCTTGTACCTGCTTAGGCTGATCTATTTATTAATGCGGTTATTTTACTACGGCTTAATATTAAATAATACCAAAAGTTTGATCTACCAACTTTAAAACAAGAAATGATAATGTAAAAATGTTTATAACATTTTATACCATACAAATATTTCAAATAAACCAAATTATAAGTTAATTAAATCGCAATTTTTTTTTAACACTTTTTTTAAAATGTCGTTGTTAAACTTATTATAGATCAGAAAAAAATCTATGCAAATTATTCCCAATTATAATGTTAACTAGGTATGTTAGTCACCATTTAAGTTTCAACAATTAATAGATTACAAGGAAGAGTACAGGTTTGAGTGTGGTCTAAAATTGTAAAAAAACAATAACAACAAAGTTTTAAATTTTTTAAAACTACGAATTGATCTACCAACTATTATTAATGAATTATTCGGTATAATACAATTTTGCATCTGTTCCTTACCAAAAAATAATTTTATTAAACATTATTAAACGATATGCGATTCTCAATTTTTTTAGAGAAAAATTGAAGAGAATGAAAGTTTTATTAAAAATAACAAAATTTTGACTGAAGATTTTGTGAACATAATAGAGAAAAAGTTTCCGGTGATGTGGAACAAGAATGAAGTTTTAGAAGTACTCAAAGTGGTCGGCCATGACGGTAGTAAAAAACTTAACTATTAATTGAATTTTAATTTTTAATTATTTACAAACTGTTTGTAGAAAAATTGCCAATTGAATTGACGGTGTACCACGAACTACTAAGAATGTTGCCGGCTTCGGAACGGGTTGGTAGTTATAATTCTAATACTTTTTTTACTTTATAAGTACGATTGATCATAATAACAGGTGGAGAGATGGTATTAAAATTTTGTCCTCGAAAAATTAGCAACAATATTCATTAAAATTATAATTAAAATTTTATTTTCGTACTTGAATATTTGAATTTTGAAAAACATTTTTTTTTCGGAAATCTTTCGAAATTATTGTTTTGTATTTTGTCTTTAGAGCAAACTTATAAGTTCTACAGTATTCTGTATATTATATTTTCACATTATACATATGTATATGTATATCTACTACACAAAGAAACAGTTTTAATGTAATTTTAGGACAATATTTATTTTGTTATGCCGTTCAAATGGAACGAAGATGTGTAAACGTTAAACATGTTCTTTTAAGATAAATAAAAACGTAATTTTTCCAATATTATTCTCTTTAATTGTCGATGAATAAACATCTTTCAGAAAATGTTTTACTTATACCTGCCCTCAAGTTTTTCGTTTTCGTGTCGAATTGTACTTTTAATATTTTGTTTATTTATTTAGTACTTAAATACTTTAATATTTAAGTATGTTTGACAAGAGTTTCGTAGATTCACGTATGAATTTAATCATTTCCAAAATGAATACCCATTTTGTGTTATAATATATAATAGAAGAACTTGTTTGTTAAAACTTCTAGATGGCGCTTATATACCATGATTATAACTCTCATAGCGGTATAAATAAATGTAAGACTTCAGAACACTATTGTAGTCGTCATTTTTATTGATTAACATTTACATTTTTCCAGACAAAGCTTTGGTTAGTTTTCCCACATGGATATATCGCAGTGAGCTGTACAGAGAGATACCTGGTTCTTACGCATTTAAACTCCACAATCGACTTAAGAGTGTAATTTGCCTTTGAAAAATATAACATTTTGTAATAGATACTGATGTTATGTTAAGTTTTTCGTATATTATTATTTTGTTTTTTGCAATCCAAAAGATATTGAAATTTTTTTCATATATTACAATATATTTCTTGAAAATTAATATTAAAGAATACTGTATGCACTAGAGTATTACAATACATACATTTTTATATAAAAATATACATACATTTTAATATAGATAAACGGTTGTTAATAATCAATAGATTGTTTAATTAATTTGTAAAATTGCTATAGATTTAATAAATATAATTCATGTAATGAAATATTTGTTTTTCCTTTTTTTAATTTTTCCATTAAACTTTGTTGGATACAATATATTCCTATCATTTACCTTTTCGCTTTATATTATGTTTATAACTTAAAAAGTTTATAATCAAACCTAATTCTAAAGCAATATATCTATTATGACTTTATAATTTACCTGAAAATCTACTATTTTTCAACTTGAATATCAAGAGTAATTATTTTATAAAATAAACAGTTTGCACACACTTTATACTAATAGTAATAATAGTTATAATAATAAAATAATGTTCTATAAAATATTCATTTTACAAAAGCCTTAATTATTTTTAGAAAGTGATAAAATGTGGTTGGAAGAGTTGGTAGTAAAAAACTTAACTATTTATTGAAATTCGTTTCCTAGTTATCTACAAATTGCCTATAGAAATATTACCAATTGAATCGACGGAGTACTACTAAATACTAAAAATGTTGGAGGCTTCAAATCATGTTAGTAGTTATTGTTTCAATATCATTTTTACTTTATCAGCATGATTGATCATACTACCGGGTGAAAAGATGATAATATTCAATTTTTGTACTTGCCATTCTACAATCTAGTCGACAAAACATTAGTATAAGATATAACATTCAAGAAAAGATCCCAATAATTTGTTGTAAGTTTTTAGTTTTTTTTTTTTTTTAATTGCAAGCTAAAAACATATTTTTAAAATGTAAACGCAGATCATGTCGTCTTCCGGTCGGTTTCGCCGGGCTCTTTTCAGATACAGACGATAGTGATTTTAACCGATGCCAAGTTGTAAAATAATAATAATAGTTATGATCACGAAACACCGCCTCGCCGACACTATAATATTATTATTATTATTATTATAAACAATGCTCGTAAACTATTTTGCATGTCTAATATGTAATGTGCAGCCGGCTAAATTGCACATCATACATAATAACGGTAACGACTCGTGTGCACCGCGTTGCCGTGATTTTAAACGCAAATTAAACAAATGCGAAACTATGCCGATTTATTATTATTTTACAGGCCAGACCTTCGGAGAGATACGGTTCGATATTCATTTTTATATATACATATATGTTGTATTTTATCGCGCACCAATATTTTTCCCGCATAAGCCTCCTGCCGAACCGATGCCGTCCCGGGCGAAATAAATTGAATGTTTTATCACCGGCCACACTTCCAACCGACGACCTAGGTTTTGCAGTGTGTAGCATATAACAATAATAATAATAATAATAATAATATGTGAGTATAGCGATAAACATATTTCGACACGATGATCCTGACGGTGCCGGTACGTCGGAGATAACAAAGACTTATAACAATCCTGGCATCCGGGCGAGGATGAGACCGCCCAAATATGTCTAACTGACACTCTGGAATTTACTGATCGAGAGTGTCGCATTGCTAGCAACTGGCGTCCCTGCCGTTCACCTAAAAAGACTATCGCCGTTCACACAGAGAGAGAGAGAGAGAAACCGAGGAAATATTTCCAAACCATACAGACGAGCCAAGTCACTATCAATGTGGAATTGGCAATAATTATATCTAGTTCAAAACCGTCTTATTTTATTCTAATTCATATAAGCTAATTACTTTCTCGACCTAACAGAAAAAAACATTGAATAATTATTAATATTTTACCTACGTTTTATCTCTTATTTCTTATCTCTAATAGAAACTAAAAGTGAAAACGGCGACAGCCAAATTTCTTGTATCCAGCATAATACCATATACATGTTAAAACAATTTTCTGAGGCTATATTTTATCAAGATAGAAATTGATTTTATGATATTTGTTGGTTTGATAAATTCTTTTAATATGTTGTGTTGTATGAGAATTGTCATTAGCTATAACAACATTTTTTTAAAAATTTATAACAATACTTGTCAATAAATTTGTATTTTTCAATAACATTTGACATTATTGCATCATAATGTTTGCAATTATGTCAGTTCAACTAGTAAATAATATTATTTTTAATTAGGGAATTTTTTGCAATTTTTATTTTAAAAAAGGTACATTTTTTTATATTGTATATTTTATTTAGATAAAAATTTAATTTTTTTATTTGGTAGCTAGATCATAAAATTGTAATTGTCTGTTATCTTTTCTAGATCATTATTTAGTTATTTTTTTAGAACACCGCTTTTAATGCAGATTAAGACAAACAAATAAAAACAAAGCTGTCTAGTTTAAATGTGAAAACAAAAACAAAAAATGTATACAGCGCTCAAACATTTTGATACTAGTTGAACATTTTTTCGCATTAACAACATATTATATTATTTTCATATATTTTCCTCTTTTTCGAGAGAATTTCAAGGGAAATCTTTTAAGATTTTTTTTTCAGTGTTTATTAGCATCATATTTTGACTTTTTTTTTTTAATCTAAAAAATAATTAATTTAAAACGTTATGGAAATCAATTAAACGTCACATCTTATACATTATAATATTAGAAGGCGTCGTCGGCGTGGCGGCGATTAAATAATCATTGGGGTTTTTTGTGTTATTTTTTGATAATGTGTTGTTCAACTCTTTCGATTAGGCCCGAACTATTATAAGATTAAACGCTGAAGGTGTACTGGCGGTTATTATGGGAAGGTATACACGTCATAATACCCAAAAGACTGTCGAGCGCGTTCATTATTCACATTTTTTCCAACCGACTAGTTTCATTAATTATTTTTCTCTGTCATGTGCATTTTTTTTTTATTACCATTATTATTATTATTATTATTATTTCACTCGATCGCCCGCGCACCGTTTGACGATTTCCGTGTTTTTTTATTATACGTTTAAAACGATTTTTTCACTTTTAATACACCAAATATATTATCACACACAACAAAAAAAAACCGGTACAAGGACACGCTACCACTAACCGTGTCGCGACAATAATAATTAATAATAGTAGTAATCGAATGTGACATTCCACGGATAAAGTAACATATTAGGTACCTGTTATATTTGTATAGCGGCTGATATTTTGGTACTAGTCCAAATAGTGGATAAAACAATTTTCTGTAGTTTTACCTCCTACCGACAGTTTCTTCGAGTTTATTTACTTGTTTAAAAAAAATAAAAAATTCACTATTTTTGTTTTCAATAGAGCAAATTATTGTTTTATAAAACAATACAAAAACCTTAAAAGTGGAAAAAACGAATTAATTGTTTGTAAAGCTATACGACAACAATTGAACCTTTTTTTTTTTTAAGGATATACAAGCTCTACTGTTTTGGCGGTTAAAAAAAATCATTACTGTTTAATTTACATATTGCCCAGAGGCAATTATTAAATATGAATTATGACAACGTTTCATTTCTACAAACGTTGTATATTTGATTAAAAAATATGTATTTTCGCTCTGTAAATGCAATTAACGTAGATGTGTTTTTTTTTCTCGTTTGTAAATTATTCAACTGTTTTTTTTTTATGGAATTTTCTTTTTAACATCGGTGGTATTCAGAATTTTAATTTTGCACATCGAACCTTAACTAATTAATTTCGCGGATGTAGTCGCCATTCGACACTGACATCCTCACCTTACCTAAACCGGACACAAACACATCCTCACAAATGTGTCTCTAAATTATATTAGGTAGTCGTTGCTGTACCCAAGTCCACGACTATCGATAGTAGATCTATGGTGAATAAAATTCCTATTGATACTTTTTTTGAAATAGCATATTTCCATTTTACTGACATTACGTTAAGAGATAAATTGACGGGAAACTTAATCTGTAAATGTCAGTAGAGCCACAATATAGTGAATTAAAATCCAATATTTCACAATATGGTGAAACATTTGAGACTTCAAACGCTTATGATAGAGTAGGGTAGGACAAAGTAGGAGATAAGGAAGAATAACGTAGAAGAGGCTGGATGAAGGTGTTTGAGGGCTGGAGAGAGTAGGATAAGGTGGGAGAGACAGGGAAAAGGCAGGAAAGAGTAGGAGACGACAGTAGTGGGTGGGAGGAGGTAGTAGAGGGCGGTCGAGGGTGGGGTTGATTAATTTTCTGTGGCCGAGGGTCAACGCTCACTTTATTCTAGGAGGTGCTGGCGGTGGTGCACAATGTGTAATGGACCCCCGAGGTGAACGGTAAAGCCGGTGGTGGAGTGGCAGGGCAACCGGGGTGGCGGCGTCGGGTGACGGCAGGGGTAAAGCAAAGGGTATGGAACATTGCGGAGATGCCGCAGGGGTTTCGGGATCGAACGGCAGAATATTAAAGGTTTATTCGCGGCGAGCACTGCGGTATTGTTGTCGTATCGCGTTATCTCATAACAATATATTTTATCGTTCAAAAACGATTGCGAGGGCCGGACTTCGCGGGTTAGGTCGAATCTCCCATCGCGGACGGCCCGACAATCTAATATAGCCAATTCCATTATTTTCTTAGACGGACGTACGTCGTAAATAAAAAAAAAAAACATGTTCCGGAAGGCCGGCAATATTTCTAGTACTCGGGAAATAGTTTTAAAAAAAAAAAAACCTTTTCATGTCGTCACAATCTTTCAACACTATTCGGTAATCCGACCACTCGAGTGTTTTACCGGCACATCCGATTCCGGTCATTTCCTTTAAGACATAAGTCACTGGTTTTTTTTTTTTTACATCAACGACTCTTCGTAAACTCTTTCGATTTGTTTTTCTTATTTTATTTACGGTATTCTATTTCTTTTTTTATGTTTTTTGCACCAAAACGTTACGGGATACACGTTGTTGTTCTTAGCGAAAAACCACACGACTAAAATATTTACAAAGATTTGTAA